CAAAAAGAAATTACTTTTTCAAGACCTCAATTATTTTTATTTCTTAAGGAAAAATCTAATCGTTTTTTATATTTGTTGTAGCTTTTTTTTTTTTTTGAATTCAGCTCCTCTTCATTTTTTTTCTGTATTTTCCACAAGTTCTTGCTTGGATTGAAGACTAGTGGCATAAGGAAAAATTAACAGCTAAAATTTTATTTAATCAAAATTTTAAATATGATATAAATAATTAATAATGTCATAATCATAATAATATTATCTTATCTATAATATATTATATTTTTTTCTCTCTTTTCCTATTTTTATTTTCCCTACGGGCTACGGGCTACAACATCTATCTTCTTTTTCTTCTTTCAATGAGCTGTTAAAGAGATTATTAGTAAAAAAATTAAATGGTCAATTTTTATTTTTATTTTTAAAAAGAAGATGGACTTTATTTAGGATTTATGATAATATAATATGTCCTATAATTGTGGCATTACTGATAGTTTTTAAAATATATTAATTATCTAAAACAATTTTTTTAAAACGAAATCTATAGAAAATAGAAATTATTAGATTTAAAAAATATGTATTTTTTTGGGTCTTGAAAAGGTATATTGTTTTGATTTGAATAAATTATGGGAAAAGATTAATAAAGGTGGATTTTTATTTCATTCAATAAGAAAGTGACACATGATAAGTATTTAAAAAAAAAACAAAATAAAGAGGGGTTTGTTAGTTTCAAGGGTATAAGTGAGCCAAAAAGGTGAATGGAAGGGTATTTCTAGACCAAAGAGATGATCAGTAGAAAGATATTTTTAGACCAAAAGATGAATGAAGGGTATTTTTTACCTTTTCCTATAGTTTAGGGGTATTTTTGACCCTTTTTCCGTTATACATATGCCAATAGTAGATGCAAAACATGTCATGGTATTTTTTTTAATTTTCATGTACTTAGTTCCCCTAAAGGGTTACCTTCTTTATTTGAATTCATGACTTGTTATTAGGTGTTGAAGAACTTTGTAGAGACACTGCTAGGATTTCTGAGTTCTCTCATCAAAATTGTCATCAGACTATCTGCTAACAGTGAGGTAAGAAATCTCGAGACTCGTCTTGAAAAGTTACAATATATTTTCTCCGTTTCAGTTAGTTTGTTTGGTTTTGATTTTGACACGTACTATATTTAAGAAAGTAAAGCAGAACTTTTTAAATCTTGTCATGTCTTGAAGACTTAAACTAAAGATATCATGTTGAATGTACCAAAATGTGGTTTATTTTTTTGTAGTCTAAACATGTGTGAAAAGTTGGAATTAAAGAGTCGCAAAAAATAGACTAAAAATGAAAGTAAGACAAATAAATTGAAACGAAGGGAGTATTAATCATGGGCTTTGATCTGGTTATATTATCTCACCAGCAGACCTTTTCTACATTTTCTTCAAATTCCATCTACTGAACATCTTTATGATAAATTTAGTTTTATCAACCATTAATTTTCCCTTATTTCCCAAACATGTTCAGTCCCATAATATTGTAACCATCCTACAGAGTTGATTTCTTAGATGGTCATTCAACGAACATTAATTATATCATAAGTTCACCTTTATTAGTTGAGTGATTATCTAAGAAATCAGTTCCAGTGTCATTCTTGCTAAAACTTTGATCCAGAAACCTTTTAATATTTCATCCAAGTTACACTATATCAAAAATGATCTTTAGCAGCAAGTAATTAAGGACAATAACTTAATTGCCACTAAATACGTATTTTTAGTAGTACTGAGCACTCTTTATAAATATCTCTAAAGCCTATAGCAGGACTCTTATCGTCTGCCCCCTTTAGTATCTATGAGTGCTCATTACATTTTCAATTTTGAAAAATTTGCAGCTAAGAGATGGGAGAGGCAATCATGGAAGCTGTAGCCGAGCTCATCGTAAAGGACTTGTCAAAGCAAGTGAACATACATGCTCAGTACGCAATACAATTTGAAAGTGAGTTTGAGGTGATGAAGAGAGAGCTGAATCTCATGCGTTCGTATCTCACTGAAGCAAACAGGCTGAAAGGAAACAATAACTCTGTCAAGACTACCTTATCTGAACTTCAAGAACTAATTTATGAAGCAGATAATGTGGTCACAGATTGCCAAATCCGCGAAGATCATCTAAGGATGAAAGGGAATCCATCTTGCTTGCTTCCGTCTCCGAGGGAGATATCTTTCAGATATATCACTGGAAAGAAACTGACAGGACTTAACAAGAAGATATTGAAAATGCATCAGAAGCTGAGGACCTTTGTTGGTCCAATAACTGAACAATCACGAGGTGACGAAAACATCAGTAGAAGGATAAGATGGACCTCACACATTTTTGATCAATCTGAAATTGTGGGGTTATCAGAAGATACAAGAAAAATCAAAGAATGGATCCTTTCTCATAGCGATTCATTACATCGCGTTGGCATTGTAGGTATGGGCGGTTTGGGTAAAACCACAATCGCGCAAAAGGTGTACCATGACAGACAAGTGAATGTGAGATTTCAAAAGAAAGTTTGGGTTTCTGTATCTCAAACTTATGATGAGCTTCTCATCATGAAGGGTATTTTGAAACAGTTGAATGGAGATGATAGTGGAACTGACAAAGGAGATTTGCTTAACAGAATTCTTGAAGCACTTTCACATAAGTCATACTTGATTGTCTTGGATGATGTATGGAGCATTGATGATGGATGGTGGGATAGAATATCAAGGGGATTACCAAAGTTTGTAGAGCACAATTGTTGTATTATAATTACATCAAGAAATGATGATGTTGTTAAGAGGATGGGAGCAACAGAATCAAGAATTCATCGACCAAGATTGCTCGATGATGAAGAGAGTTGGTCATTGTTCTGTAAATTTGCATTTTTGTCAACTAAAGGGAAGTGCAATACTCAATTGGAAGAAGTTGGAAGAGAGATCGTGCGCAAATGTCATGGTCTTCCTCTAGCCATCAAGACCACAGGTGGGATGTTATCATCAAAACCACATTCACTCGGGGAGTGGACAAGGATATGTGAAAACTTTCGAGAGAAATTGGTATCGGATAGTGAAAGCAATATCTCTGTAATGGCTTCTTTGCAACTAAGTTATGATGAGCTTCCTGCTCATCTAAAACAGTGTATGTTATGCTTCTCAATCTATCCAGATGACCATGAAATTGAGGCGGAACAATTGGTTCGTTGGTGGGTAGGGGAAGGATTAGTCCGTGGTAATGGCACAGAAACTGCAACAGATGTAGCTTTTGGTTATTTGTCTGAACTCGTAAGTCGGTGCTTGGTTGAAGCTGTCCAAAGAAGAAGCTTTGATGGCAAAGTTTATAGTTGCAAGGTGCATGATATGGTTAGAGACATGACAATTCTCGTTGCAGAAGACGAGAAATTTTGCAGCTTCAATCGAGGCAGGAACATAGCCACAGTTAACTCTAGGCACTTGGGGGTCACAAGGGAAACAACTTTTCAGTCCTTATATGGGAACTCAAAGCTAAGAGCACTTCTTCTCACTACAACAAATTACATCGGCTTCAACAGGAGAATCGCTCTGGCTGAAATCAAGACTCTCAGGGTCTTGGACTTGTCATGTGTCAAGCTAGATAAAATCTGTATGATTGATCTATGGCAATGGATCACATCACTAAAGCGACTAGCTTATTTAAATCTGAGAAATGTTGCAAATTTGGACGAGATTTCAGACTCCGTAAGGAAGTTATGGGGCCTTCAAATACTAGTCCTTAGAGAATGCAAGGAACTGAAAATGCTACCAACATCAATCACAACACTTCCAAGATTGGCAATTCTTGATGTTGGAAGCTGTCCATCCTTGTCATGCTTACCACAAGGTCTCTCGAGGCTTTCCAATCTTGAAGAGCTGTACGGGTTCAAGATACCGAGTCCAGCAACAACAGAAGCTTGTCGCCTGAGTGAAATCGTTGCACTGACTCAACTTCGGGTACTGCACTTAGACATAATGGAGGAAAGCATGATAGATGACAAGGAATTGGCTGCATTGAAACAACTTGAACTACTAAGGGTGTTATCAATCAATGCAGGGGACTGTGAAAACAAGGACATCATAAGGAAGCTGGATAACTTGTCACCACCAACGCGCGTTGAAGAGTTATATCTAAGGCACTACCTCGGAGAAACCACACCAGCATGGATAAACCCCATTTCACTTCCCCAACTGCAGTACCTTTGCATCGAAGATTCAAGAGTGCTTAACCACATGAGTGAAATTTTTTGGGGAGATAATGAGGATAACTGGAATGTTGAAGGACTGTGCTTGAAATTCTTGCCAAGGCTGGAGGAAACATGGGAAACATTCCAAAGTGCAATGCCATCCCTCAAATACTTAGAAGTCGGCCACTGCAATTCACTGAAAAATTTCAGATGTAACGTTGAGGGTTTAGGATATTGGACAAAGCCAGAGGAAGAGGAGCAAAACAAGGGAGATCAAGACGTGATTTCGTGCAACGAAGGAGTTAATGAAGGAGAATTTGATGACATGCACTGATGACTTATTTGCTATTCTGTATGTTTGTTGAGTTTTTATTTCGAATACTGTTTTCATGTACCGAACAAACTTATAACTTTGTAATGTATGCTGTTGTTTGTGATTGTGAATGATGGAGCTTATTATGACACCTCTTACTATGGCTTCAGACTTTGTTACAGAAAGTATTGTGGCCTTAATTAATATCTATTGGAAGTTCTCTAAGAGCAAAAATCAAATTGATATAGAGTTGTGATTCTCGGATTTTTCATAAATGTCGATGGGTGCATGTCTAATCCTCCAAAAGAAGTCTATTTCTGGAGTACGTGACACGGGTGCACCAATATTTTTGGAGAGTCCGAGCAACATAGATATGGAGTATGATAGAACTAGCAAGCTAGAAATTAGCAAATATGTAACATGGTGTTTATCAACATAACAGTTTTGGAACTACAAAACTAAACATAAGTAAAGAGCAAAACATGGTCAAGTAAAATTTTATTATCTGAATGAAATGGATAGCTCCTCCAAGTGAAAAGGGCGAGATATTCCATGGATGACGAACATCTTAGACACGAAAATATCCGGTGCTGTGATCTCCACACCATCAATGATCAAAACGCGCGAAAAATTGCTCTTAGAAATGGTGACATTTAGGGCTGGAGCCAGTGTTTTGAGGGATGATATGTCAGGCAAGAAAGATAATTCCATGAAAGTGTACCTCTGGGGCATTATATGAAGCCTTACGATTCTTTCGAGTAACGGTGAAGGAGATGATAAAAATCCCAAATGTGGAGGAGCAAAGATTGTTACAAAGCTTAAATTTGCAGAATTATGAAGAACCCCATCAAGAACAGAATGCAATTCAATTGCAAAGGAGGCATATCCATTGGAGTTGAGCAATTTGATGATTCTTGGCCAATCAATCAAGTTCTTAGTACCGGTAGCACTTTCGTTTGGCATTTCATCACAAATTGGTGATTGAATAGCATCGAGGTGCTCGTCCATTCCATGAAAATCTAACACAGAGAAGGCCCCACTAACTCCATGAATCGAAAGATTTCCTTCAAGAAACACATCAGGATGAGAAACAGAGACATTGTTGATCTCGATGATGCTCTGTTTTTTATCAATTCTGGTGATGGCAATTTTCTTCTGAGATAAAAGGGTCGTCAAGCAACAATCTCGGGACTTATTCAACAGTTCCTGAAATGGAATTTTTGAAGGAGAAATATGGTACTGAAGGAGCTGCTTCATTGCCCAAGAAGGAACAGAGAGCTTGGAAACGGCGGAATCTTGAATTGCAAAAATGGTGGATTGTGGAGTAGATAGGAAAATTTCAGGGGAGATTTGAAGTAGAGTAGCTATGATGTTGAATCCTTGATTTCGAAGAGCTTTAGAAGCGTTCATGGTGAGGGCATGTTTGCTGAATTGGTGAGGTGAATTTGAGTAATTGACGGTTGATTTAGAATGCATGGTGGATTGGATTGCTGTGTAAGCAAGAACTATGGAGAGGAGTACAAAAAACAGAGCATTACATCCAGAACTAGCCATACTTTCTTGCAATTGATTTTCTTCTGTGTGCTCTGTGATTCTGTGTTTTGTGAAGACGAACAAGAGAAGTTCTTTAAAGCAGAGAAAGGAATTTTCCCTCCTAACGAATGAAGAGACCTCTGTGTAGTTCACTTATGTCATTAAGAAGGGAAAAAGGACGAATTTACCCCCGAACTTTGATAAATGGTACGTCTATGCCCTCCGTTATACTTTGCGTCCACATAAGCCCCTGCCGTCCAATTTTCGGTACACACATGCCCCTCTCACTAACGGACCCCTCGTTTTGTACACGTGTTTTAATCCTAATCAACTACTCGTTTGACCATTCTTTTAACCCATAAACCCACAACCCGCCTCATAAACCCAATAACCCACCCGATTCCCTCTAAAAATATCTAAGTTAATTAAACATTCCAAATGAAGAGTCAGTGAAGGGTCAGTGAAGGTTGAAAATCACTCCAATGGCGGCGGTGCCAGTGGCCTTGCCGATTTTCCATCTTTGGCCGCTGTTGCCACCACCAAAACGAAGAAGAAGAAGCCACAAACCCTATCCCTTCAGGAGTTCAACACTTATAGCGCTGCTAAGTAATCTCAAACTGCCGCCACTGTGGCAACCAAAGGCTTGACACCGGAGAAAGTTTTGATGCTCCCTACCAGTCCTCGCGAGCGCACTGCGGAGGAACTTGGCCAGTCTCGACTCGGAGGTGGTTTCAGATTGTACGGTTACGATAGGTAAAAAGGGGAGGGGTTCGTCGAATGATTCTCATAGGCAGGGAGGGTTCCGAAGGGATACCGATAGGGAAATTGCTCCCTCTCGTGCCGACGAGACTGATGATTGGGGTGCAGCTAAGAAAACATCGGCTGGTAATGGTTTTGAAAGAAGGGGGAGAGAGGTGAAAGGGGAGGTTTTTTCTCCGATTCCCAGTCTAAAGTTGATGAATCTGATAATTGGGCAGCGAATAAAGCTTTTGTACCCTCTTCTGGTCGAAGATTTGATAGGAGAGGGAGTTTTGAGTCAAACGGTAGATATTTTAGAGGGAATCGGGTGGGTTATTGGGTTTATGGGGCGGGTTGTGGGTTTATGGGTTAAAAGAATGGTCAAACGGGTAGTTGGCTAGGATTAAAACACGTGTACAAAATGAGGGGTCCATTAGTGAGAGGGGCATGTGTGTACCGAAAATTGGACGGCAGGGGCTTATGTGGACGCAAAGTATAACGGAGGGCATAGACGTACCATTTATCAAAGTTCGAGGGTAAATTTGTCCTTTTTCCCCATTAAGAATGACTCAAAATGACATAAGTGGAGCAATGTAACAAAAATTAGATAATTTTTTCATTTTTTTTTTGTGTGTTGAATTCATTTTTTTTTTAAAATATTTGGGGAACCTCTATAATGAGTTGAGGTATTAGTATGTATAACTTCACCATGATCCATGATATTTTTGGACATTTAGAAGTCATTTAATAGAAACTAGATGATTTTCATAGTTTTTTGTGTGAACCCCCGAATATTTTAGTGATATGACTTCTGGGCAATTTTTATAGAAAAAACATAACAAGACACTCCGTAATGAATTGGGGAGCAATATGTATAGCCTTCGTAGAAAGTTGGGGGAGCAGTACGTACAGTCTCACCATTTTTAGAGTGATTTTTGGGTATTTAGGGGTAATTAACTAGAATTAGGTGATTTTCTTAGTTTTTTGTGTGTTTTTTGCCCATTCATATTTTGGTGATGTGGCTTTCAGACGATTTTTTTGCAAAACTTTTATGAAACCCTTTGTAGAGAGTTGGGGGAGCAAAACATACAGTCTCACCACTTTTAGAGTGATTTTTAGGAATTTAAGGGTCAATTTACAGGAATTAGACGATTTTCTCAGTTTTTTGTGTATATTAGCCTATGAATAGTTTGGTGACATTGCTTCCAGACGACTTTTTGTGAAATCTTTATGGGACCCCCATAGGGAGTTAGGGGAGCAGTACATACAGTCTAACCATATTTAAAGTGATTTTTGGGCATTTTCAGGCCAATTTATCGGAATTAGCGATTTTTTTTGTCGGTTAGCCCATGAATATTTTTGTGATATGATTTTCAAACTATTTTTTTGCAAAACTTGAATGGAGGGAGTTGGGGGAACACTACATACAATCTCACCATTTTAAGATTGATTTTTGGGCATTTAGAGGCCAATTTATAGGAATTAGGTGAATTTCTAAACAAAGTTATGTGTTAGACGATGAATATTTTGGTGATATGACTTTCGGAAGAATTTTTTGTGAAACCTTTATGGAGACCTTTGTAGGAATTCATGGTGGAGCCGTACGTACAGTCTCATCATTTTTAGAGTAATTTTTGAACATTTAGGGATAGTACGTATAGCCTCATCATGACCCACGACATTTTTGAACTTTTAGGAACCATTTAACAGGAATTAAATGATTTTTCTGAGTTTTTCGTATGTGCTAAGTATTATTTTACTTGAAATATCTTTTGATCTTTTAATATTTCAAAATATTAAAGTTCATTATTTACATAGTGACGGAACCATGTGCAAGGAAGTAAGAAGTCGTAGAAAACTATACCGTATGAATACAATAAAAGAATTTGTTTATATAAGATTTTATATATAGCCTATAGGATGTGTTTGGTTTAGAGAAATTTCAATTTTGTTATGTTAGGTTTGTCAAATTTAAATAAAAAAATGTTTTTTTAGAAAAATTAACTTTCTAAAAAATGAAAAAAATATCTTTTTTTTAAGTTGAATGACAAATAATATTCTGTGTTGATTATGTTTTTTCACCGTCCAATACTCTTCATGTTTATGTCATTCATGTATTCTTCATCCCCCTAACCCCACTCCCTTTACCTCCATCCACCAACTCACCTCCAATTATATTTTTTTTAAGAAGACATACATAATTTTACGATTATATATTTTAGTAGACTTAAAAAAGAAAAAATATATTACCAACTTTTGAGGGTCTTTATTGTTCGTTCATTAATATTATTTACTACATAGAGTTCCAGTTAGATTTCAATTAATATGACCATATAATAACATAACAAAACATTTCATTTTACTTAAAGAGACGGGAAGATCAGTGTTGCAACGTTACAAAAAAATAAATATTTTAATGAGATTTTCTGACCAAGGTCGGTCCTTCATCTAATTGGGGCTTGCAAAATATTTTATCTGCAACGGTAGCAATAAATAAAGTACTTATAAAATAGATGAACTCTAACAATTTGGACGCTAATTTTATCTCAAAAGCTTTTCAAGTTATAATAATTTTAAATTTTTCTAAACTCACGGATATATTTGTTTTCTCCCGATATATAATAAACGATACATAAGCTATGAATCAGATTCATACTAATTTAGGTTTGAAATAATATGATTATGTATCAACAATAACATTTGTACTAAATACATTCTATACAAGTAAAGTTGTAATGTATCTGATAGAGATGTTAAAAAAGAAGAAGGAAAAAAGAATTTTTTGTAATGTAAATTCAAATGATAGAAAATTTTAAAGATTAAGTTATCTTAAGTAGTGTAATTATATAATTTTTTCATAAATAAACTCAAGGCCTTTAAGAGAAATATTGCAATACGCGTAAATGGCTCCATTTTTCTCATTTCCTTCTCTCTTTTTTTCTTCACTAGGGCCCCTACTTTTGGGTTAAATACAACTCAGCCTACCTAAATTTTAATGATTTATATTTTTTTAAATTGTTTATTTCTGTTATTTAAACACCTGAACTTGCACCTATTTATCATCTTAATATATAAACTTGAAATTTTCCCATATAAACCACTCTGAGAAAAAAAAAATAGGAAGAGAAGAATAATTTTCCTTTAGAAAAAAACCATTGTACAGTCGTTTAACAGCTTCACTTAAATTAAGGCGCAGTCCGCGGGAATACACTGTATTTAGTCAAGTACAATACTCGATTCATATTAATTGAATTATCGAGAACACCTCTTAAAATATATATTTTAAACTAAGAAAAATATCATGAATTAGAAAGAGTAAGTAGTAATTAACTAACTATTCAGCTCACCAACATGAGTTCTGATGTAATGATGGAACTATTTCACTCTTAATTAGATGTTGGTAAAATCGCATTAACTCCAAATAAATATGTAGTCCGCAATTCAGATTTAGTTGAGACTCCAATGCAGACTCCAAACACTAGACGAAAAAAATAACTATTATACTCTAAGAATTCATAGAGGAAAGCTGAATTTTATGTAATTAATTATCATGTTCAACATCCAAAAATGTTTGTATGTATTTCTAAATATGATAAATAACTCTTACTATTCACAAATTTGTACTCCATATTCTTCTAATGATCTGCATCTGATTTCTTTCTAGTAACTCTAATATAGCAATAAACAGTAGCAAAAATAGCCGTTACAAGTCCACCAATAATAACCCCTCCACCAGCAACCGATTTATCAGAATGATGATGCTCTGTTTCCATACTCTCTGGAGCTTCAACAATGAAATAAGACGGTTCTTTTCCGATTTCATTTTCATCTTCCATTAACGACTTTACAGCTGGCGGATCTGCAATCAATAAGGCTCTTTCCACCATCATCTTTCTTGGGTATGTTAGCGAAGTTGTAATTGTAAATTCCCCTGCCTCTGCTTGAATCGCTGAAATTACTAGTAGCAGAAAGTAATAAAACATAAATCTAAATCGATCCATTATTTGAAAGTGCAAAAACAAAACAGAAATTTTGAAAAATTTAGCAGGTGTTTTTGCTTGTGTGTGAGTTTTCTGAATTTGAGGGATTGTGTATAAATAGAGGAGACAAGTTGTGGAAGTGGGTGTGAAAATTAAACATAAAAAAATTGAAGGTTGAGAGAAGTTTAAGCCTTTCATGGGTCCAGCTGGGGATTAAGTAGGACCTAATTATGTCCAATAGGTTTGGAGCACAGATTATTCCAATCTATGCAAACTTTTTAAATAAGGGTTTTGATAACGCCTTGAATTATTAGTTTTATCATTCTTCGGGATGACTCAATGGTCTGGGTTTGGGACTTCCATATTGGAGGTCTCAAGTTCGAAATTTCTTGC